TCATTCACCGAGTTATTGAGGGTTGCTAAAAACACATCCCAAATGTTTAGTTCCCAGTCAAAAAGCGTTCTCCTGATCGCTATTTCCCATTGCCAAAGGCCACTGATTTTCCTACCGAATTCGCAAACATTTATTGATTTTTTGATAGTGACAGCAAATATACGAGGGAAAGCCAATCTCAAAGATGGAACGTCTTTCCATTAACCATTACACGCCTTAAATCTTTCGAAAAGCTATCATCCACTGAATTTAGAGGTTGCATGATTTTTCCAAACCCACGACTTCCTATTACGCTGTCCAGGCCCCGGTAGAAGCGTCAGTCATATCCGTATTTGGCGTCGACAAATTTTCTCCACAGGCAGCTTCAGATCCATACCTCCAAATCCACTTGTTTAGTAGGGAACGATTTCTTACTTTCATGTCGAAGAATCCTAGGCCACCACACGATCTCGGGATGTATACTGACTCCCATCTCACCCAGTGGATCCATCTCCCAGATCCTTAGCCCCACAGAAAATTTGCAATCAATTTGTTCAAGTGTGAGGCCACTGATGACGGAAACTGAAATAAAGATAAAAAATACATTGGCATGTTAGTTAAAACAGATTTTATAAGAGTAATACGCCCTCCGAATAAGAGTAGTTTTCCTTTCCACCCCTCGAGCCTCGAACTAAGTGATTTGATGAAGTTTTAAGAATTTAATATTAAATAGATAATAAAATCGACACTAGTTTAAGATAAAGTTTATAATCATAAATTCTTATAATTTTGATATTATATTACTTTATTTTCATATGATCGTGACTTTTTTTTTTTGAAAAATATGTTATTTATATGGATAGTATAAATATTATAAAATAACATATGTACATTATTCTTTTAAGATATTGATAATATGAACATACCATACATTTATTTAAAACTTCTAAAAGATATATATTATTTTCATCATTCAAATTATTTAATAAATTTGAAAAAAATACATTATATAAGCGAGAATCAAGGTTAATTTACAAAGAAAGAAAGAAGGTCAAACGTTACAACTTATGATTGTTTCGAAGTATTATTGTCTTTAGATAGGGAGGCGGTGACTGGTCGCGGTCGGTGTGGGACAGTTGGTGCAGTTGCTTTTGGCGTTGCGTTGCGGACTCTTCATTCTCGTTTTTTTGCGTTTTCTTGGATGCAGTAATTTTATTTTATGATAAACGTAGCGGCTAAGCTTATTTTTAATTTATTTATTTTAATATTTTTAAGTAGTCGGTTTTAATTCCTTAAAAATTTGAGTTGAATATAAACTTGAATCAAATCTATTTAACTTAAACATTAATTGAATCAAATTTGCATAATTTATAATTTATTTAATCTTATTTACAACCATAATTAGGGCTGTAAACGAGTCAAGTCGAGCTCGAGTATTATTGAGTTCGGCTTGACTCGGAAAGTGTATAAATGATCTCAAATCGATTCGAAAAACTCACAAGCTTAAAATTATCAAGCTCGACTCGAGTTTGAAAGAACTTGAACTCGAAATATTCTCAGACATGACTCGATTGAAACTCAAACTCGAACATGAACCTTAACTTTAAGTACACGAAAATTCATATTATATATATTTTAAAAAGAACAACATACAAGTATTAATATTATTAATAATTTAATTTAAAAAATCAAAAAAATTTAATAGATTTTTTTAAGTAGCTCGTGAGCTTTTTGAGTCGGATATTAAATAGTTTATTTCGACTCGGACTCATCATGAATTCGAGTTGAATCCATTCGATTCAAGAATTAACTATATTTTAATTAATTTAATCTCGAATAACTGACAATATGATTCGTCTCCAAATAATTGTGGTTAAATGAAGGGGATCCAGAAATCTGTGATTGGCCATGAATCATCCAAAAACATCCCTAGATATGCTTTGCTTGTTCATACTGATATTGACCCATTTAAAGATTTTGATGCCAATTTTAATGTCAAATCTTGTGGAATTTTGTCCACTTGCTTTTCATTTCATCTATCTCTCTTTATTTATTTATTTTTGCTTTTAATCTTTTATTATATTTAAAGTCATAAATTATTCTATATATTTTTGTTTTTAATCATTTATTCAAAAGAAAACAGTAAAATTACAACAATCAGGATGAATCGAAGAGACAAGTGGGGACAATGTATTCCTTCAATATAAAATTATGTGTTCGTCTCTAACAACAATGGATCTTATCCTAGAAAAAACACTAAGAGGTTGAATAAATTAGTAAAATTATTTATTAAAGAAAGTACAAGTTTAAAAGTTTTTAAATATTATGGAAGTTGAATTGAAAATTGGATAAAACAACTAAATTTATGTGTAATAATTACGATAAGTTGTTATTTTTTATTAATATCTTATAAGTGATTTCAATGGTAAAAAGGAATATTGTGTTCTCTTTCGAAGTTTTCGGTTCGAGCAATTTCTTATGCATGATGTGTGTATATTGTTAATGATTAGAAAAGATTATGAACATATACTACCTTATAATCACGTTATACTACTCAGAGAAAACTTATGATACATTAAAGTTTAAGGATTATATCGGAAAATTGAGAATAATAGAAAGGCTGAAATCAGAATTTGACCATAAAGTAGAATACCCACCGAACTAATTCAGGAGACAAATGCAGTGTGTACATTGAAATTCCAATGTAGTTAAAAGGAATAAGAGCTTGAAATTGCTCAATTAATGCTTCAATTGACCTGATTTTTTTCACAAATTCAACCTTTTCGGCTGCTTTTTCGGCTGTCATTTCCCAGATTTTGAATAAAATATCCAAATCTAGAGGAATCCTCCACGTGTTTGTTTTATTTTTGGATCAAGAAATGTGTGATTCTTATGAGAATGAAATTCACATTCCTATGGTTGGTTGGCCAGAAATCTCATTCTCTGTAATGTTTTGTTACCAATAGTAGATTTTTTGGGATATATTATCGGGAATGTCATTATCTCTCTTTCCTTAGGTATTGTTGGATTACCGACGTTTTGGACTAAAATGCCCTTAATTTTTTTCTTTTCAAAAATATCATTCTTCTGTCATTGAATAATAAAAATTATGCGAATGTTAAGTTACAAATTTATCCTTAAACTATTTTAGATTTACAAAAAAAATCTATAATTAAAATTTTATATGAAGTTCAAGGGTTAAAATAAAAGTTTACTCTTTTATTAAACCTTTTTATATTTTCAATTTTGTAAAAAATATATATATATAAATTTTATGAATTTAAATTTTTTAAAGAAAATATATAAATATTTTCCAACTTGTTAAAAAACAAATATATGATAAGAACAATTTGATCAAATATACATTCCAATAATCTTTTATTCCTTTAATCAAACACGATAATCTTACATTCATGCTAAACCAACCAAACACAAAATACAACATTCTCAGTAATCCTATTCTTTGATAATCTTACATTCCCACTGATAATCTTACATTCCGTGAACCAAACACACCCTAAAGGCTTTTGTTCAATAGAGTAATGAACACCTCTTGGATTTGTTGTATCGAATAATAAAAAATTGATTTTTTTACGTAAGATGTCGAGTTTAAGTTTGATGAATGGAAAAAAATAATACTACAAAAAATCTGGTTCGATTTTTAGGATAAAAATCTACATTCGACACAAATATATATATATAATTATCGTTTTTATTAAGTATAACAAAGACATTATTGAAAATATATAGAGATGAGTATCAAATAATTATCTTTAAATATATAAATGTCAATTATACTATTATTTTTAGATTGAATATTTTTACTTTAAATCCAAACACAATATTATCTTTTAAAAATATCATACTCGAACTCAATTTTTTCAAAGAGAAACCCCTCCATAAATTTATATCGAATTAGAACCTGTCGAATTTGGGTTGAATGCTTGCCCTAATTATTTCTAATCCTAAGTTTTTTTAATAAAAAAAAAAGAGAAAATAGTTTGTTATTGAGACAAATGGAGCATGCAAAAGCTAAGGTTCATGGTGAGACACAGTTTGTAGTTGAAAACATGATACTGATATACACATCCATCATAATAAGATGCATAACATGAACAAATTTTCAGGTTTTATTATTGAATAGATTTAGTGAAAAAATATTTATGTTGTTACCATGTCTTTAGTTAACAATTATTCTCATATTCAAATTAAAATATGAAATTTCTCGATTATATTTATAAAACTAATATTTTCAGTTAAAATGTTAATTGAGTATATTATCCCGATTATGTAAATATAATAAATTAAAATATTAGGGGATAAAAGAGTCTAAACTCAGTTCATACATAACTTGATTCATCAATGGCGATTATTCAAGTCATTCAGGGCAGCCCTCCTCCGAAAGCAAAGAATAAAGAGTTAAGGGTCACATTTCTAAGTATAGAAAATTTGATGCTCACAAAAGATGAGTCTAAGTCAAGACAAAGGTATAAGAAATAAATAGAAAAAATAAAAACTTCGGATCTCTTCAATCGGTTAAAGATCATGACTTAAATTTTTATTTAATCCGGTTCAAAAGATTTATAACAAGACTTGTTTGATAAAAAACTATTTTGAAAGAGAAAATAAAAATTTATAGTGAAATTGTACAATTTTCGATCATATATGTAAGAATAGACTGATGTAAGAATAGACTGAGGGAAAGGAGGCTAAAGGTAGTCACCCCTAACATTAAATCATATATTTGTCTTTAAATACATGTATCGACCAAGATAAACACGGAAAGAAAAGTATATACCGATAAATATATTTCTTTTAAACAATCCAAAAGAGTTTTTCAGAGATCAAAGAAAAGAATTTTGTGGAAAGTAAAGTAATACATCATAAAACCATCATTAAGAGAAGCATCTAAAACCAAACTTATAGAAGAGCCCTACACACGCATGTAAAAGGGTTATCTTGGAGGTGCATTACCCTTCATATTTGTAATTTGTGCACAAAGGAGCAAAACACAAGTGGTGATGGGATTTCCAACTGGTCCACTATTCGAAGGACACAAATGGGTTGTCTTGGTTCTCAAAGTAGGTCTCATGGGGATGATCATGGTTGCTAGAACGTCATCAGGAGATGAAATTGGGACACCATCAGCCGGTTTACTATGTATCAGCGAATGTGGAACATGTCCGGTCATTTGTTCACCCCCACCGGCACCATTTTCGAAGTCGTTTCCACCACCGTCGCCGGTTCACCACCCGTCACCGCCGACGGTTCCTTACTTTTACTTTCCACCACAAACTCCGCACCACTCCCCGCCACCATTGGAATTGGAATCTTTCTCACCGCCTCCATCTCCACCTCGTCCGCCTCCGCCGTCGACTTCCTCCAAGGGCAGTCCACCACCACCACCTCCTCAGTATGTCTACAGTGCACCTACAGGCCAAGGGTCACCTTCAGTAGGACCGCATGAGTACCCTTACCCTTATTACTATTTCTATTCATCCGAGGCCTCTTCTATTTCTCTTCATGTGTCAATCTCAGTTGTAATGTTGTTTCTCAATGCTGCATTGTTCCATTGTTGAGTTCTTGGATGTTTATAAAATTGACACTTGGGAAAACATATAATAACATCAACCAAAAAATGACACTTTAAAATAAAATTTACAAGCGGTACTAGACATAATGTCACATGTCAAAACAAACAATAATTTTGATTGTCTCGATAATAAGAGTGAACATAACGAAATTTTATTACACATAAGTAAAATAATGTTATAGGTGGGTCCATTTCCCTAAAATCTATGATGAACGCTATATACGAGTGTTTAATAAGATCTTTTAGGATTTTTTTTAATAGTTGACATTGATTATAAAATAATATTTGTTCGAAATTTTGTTAATTTATTGAAACTCATACACACCTTGTAAACATATTTATTTGAACTCGAAACCTTTAATAAGAAAAATCTACATTTTTACCTTAAAGATTAATTTATCTTACATAATAAAATGTAAACACTTAATTGAAAACTAATCAATAGCATATAAAATAACTATAAAAACTAATTGAAATTGGCAGTTTGTGCAAATTGAGTGCCAACTAACCAAGAAGTGCATGGACATGCTAAGTAATAATATACGGGTCGTTCTGCGGTGCGGCGCCTAAAAAACGGCTAATATACGGCGTGACCGGTTAAACAAGTGACCGGTTAAAATTTAGACCGGTTATGTTATATTATTTAACCGGAAATATTATAAAGTACAATAACATACTAGGTAGCGCTTATATAATGTAATAGGTAGCGCTTATATTTACCTATTTTATAAGTAAACCGGTATATTTATACCGATAGCATTGCAAATTTACCTATTACATTATATTATATTGAAAGTGTCCATACTTTTTATAAAAAGGATCGATACTTTAACAGTGTTTCATGTTTTCCACCTACAATATTGATTTAATAATTTCATTTGCACAAAAAATTATTTGATTGTTTTGATATTTTATAAAATATTATTTAGAATTTTTAATTTAATAATAATATATACCGTAACGTAAAAAATAAATCATTAGACGCCTATAATTACTAAATTAATATCTTAAAACTCACTCAAAAGATAACCTTAAATTAATGTTTTCCACAGTGAAAAAAGTATGGACACTTTTATAAAAAGGATAGACACTTTACAATATAACCACTACCTATTGCTTGGCATCATATGAGATTTGGATTTTGATTTCCTTTTGCTTGGCACCATATGAGCTTTGGATTTTGATGAGCATCGGAAGTATTTCAGACTTATGATTTGGGTGGTACTCAACTTATGATTTTAGTTGCTATTTGTTACATTTCTTGTATACACCACCCGATCATACGCCCGAAACGTTTCTGACGCTTTAAAGTTGACCAAAAAATAAAATGGTCGGGATTTCCCTCGCGTTTATACGTTGGAAAAAAAACAATGGAAATTAGGAATAATCAATGATAACATGCATATTGGCTTGGGCTAATATTATAGTGGAGCCGAAATATATATTGAAATTCAAACTCAAATTGAAATTTAAATTCAAACTCCAATTACATATGAAATGAATTTGAAATGCAGTGTTAAATTGAACATGAAAATTGCATAATTGATTCATACTGTTCAAGTAACATGCTTTATGAACCATCAAGCTAAAAGACAATATTGATTGAGTTCAAAGCTGAGTTGTGAGTTGATGGAGTTGTCACACTTGTCACATGGTTGGAATAAAGTACTCACATGCGAGATAGATACCTATTACATTATATAAACGATACCATTACATTATATAAGGGCTACCTATTACATCATATGTTTACCTATTATATTGAAAGTGTCCATACTTTTTATAAAAAGGATCGATACTTTTTTTAAAACTTATGTAATTTATGTTTCAATTTTTTTAACAGTGTTCATGTTTTCCACCTACAATATTGATTTAATAATTTCATTTGCACAAAAATTATTTGATTGTTTTTATATTTTATAAAATATTATTTAGAATTTTTTAATTTAATAATATATACCGTAACGTAAAAATAAATCATTAGACGCCTATAATTACTAAATTAATATCTTAAAACTCACTCAAAAGATAACCTTAAATTAATGTTTTCCACAGTGAAAAAAGTATGGACACTTTTATAAAAAGGATAGACTTTACAATATAACCATTTATTACATTATATAAACGATACCTATTACATTATATAAGGGCTACCTATTACATCATATGTTTACCTATTATATTGAAAGTCCATACTTTTTATAAAAAGGATCGATACTTTTTTAAAAACTTATGTAATTTATGTTTCAATTTTTTTAACAGTGTACTGCGAATTTAAAATGATAATATACTTGTAGTTATTGTACATACCTAAATATGTATGCGAATTTAATGTTGTACCCACCCTTTAACTACAGAAAACATGTTCAAAATGAACTTCGTTACTATCCATCAAACTCCTGGAGCACTGAACTTGCACAACAAAATTTTGCCATGGATAATACTGATGTAGACAATGTTAAGCCAACCGAGGAATGCCATGAAGTACATAATGTTGATGAATCTGACAGATTGGTTGGTCAGCTCTGTTCACGTGATCAAGCTTGGCACTTTTACAAGGGATTCGCACGGGAACATGGGTTTAGTGCACGTAAGGGAACAACACGGCTTGACGTGGAAGGGAATGTGAAGACACAGAATTTTGTTGTTCCAAAGAAGGGTTTCGAGTATCAAAAGTCAATACTGTTGATCGTCAACGTGCTCATACGCCAGTCACAAGAACAGGATGTAAGGCTAGAGTCGTAGTTACAGCAACAAATACAAACGATCAGTGGGTTATAAGTAAGTCTGATCAGAAACATAATCATGCATTGTGCACATCTGCTATGACACCATTTATGCGTTCTAATCGAGCTGTAGTAAGGCTGATATCGATGAGGCAACAACATTGAAAGAGGTCGGTGTTGGCACGTCACAAGTAATGAACTATTTAACGCAGCAGGCAGGGGGCTATCATAATGTTGGATTTACACATAAAGACCTCTACAATGCACTTCAAAGAGGTAAAGCAAAGGAAATCGTCGATGGGGATGTGAATGCGCTTATTGCCTACTTTGATTATAAGAAACATGATGATCCCGGGTTTTTTATGACATACTCGGTAGACGAATCGGGGGCATTGTATAATCTTATTTGGTCGGATTCTACATCGAGATCGGATTACACATGCTTCGGTGATGTAATTGCGTTCGACACAACGTACAAAGATATATGGTCGACCAATTATGCCTATTGTTGGTGTCAATCATCACCATAACACAATTGTGTTTGCCTGCCATAATCGCTGACGAAACGTCTCAATCTTTCGAGTGGGTGCTACAGAATTTTTTAGAAGCCATGATGAAAAATCACCTATTTCTGTTGTAACCGATGGGGATAGGGCAATGCAGAGGGCTATCAAATCTGTTATCCCTTATGCTAAGCACAGTTATGTTCTTGGCATCTTTCTCGCAATGCACAAGCTAACATTGGTGACCCAAAGTTTACAGCAGCATTCTCAAAATGCATGGCTTCCTGGTGGACAACCAAGGAATTTGATATTCAATGGCGTTCGATTGTTTCAGAATTCAACGTCCAAAAGCATCCATGGGTGATTGAGAAGGGAAATACACGACACTTATGGGCACAAGCATATCTAACCGGTCATTTCTTTGCCAATATTCGCTCAACACAAAGGTGCGAGTCTATGAATGCTTCACTAGCTATTGCACTGAAACACAAGAAGACATATTTAGATGTTGTTCGTGCAATTGAAGATGGAATTAGTAGAATGCGTATGAACGAGTTGAAAGCGGACTTAAGTTCCCATACGAAGCCCTTCCAGATCACAAAACTGGTCGACCTTGAAAGCCATGCCGCTGCGATTTTTACCCGCGAATCTTTTCGTGTCCAAGATGAACTTACACGGGAGACATTGTACCGGATTGAGGCAGAGATTAAGTCCTTATCAGATGAATGTCAACATTATATTTTGTCAAAGTACGCAGAAAAAAATAGGAAATTTGAAATTAGTTTTGATTCTCGTACGAAAACTCTAATTTGCTCCTGCAAAAAATTCGAGACCGTTGGACTTCCGTGTCGCCATCAACTTCACATTTTGAAGCAATTGGACTACACATATTTGCCCGGACTTTGATTCAAAGTAGGTGGACTAATGATGCGAAGGCTTCTGCACCCAGCTATGTTGATTTGAATGTGTCTCCAGAAGTGATGCAAATGGCAAGGTTCGCTCTACGTTCAACGTCAAGTAGGTATGCTACATTGCATCAAAGAAGACGAGTCTTTCAAACCGCAAGAGATGAGATGAAAAAACTAATAGAAGAATTAGAAAACTCGTTTGGTTTGAATCAGTCAGTCAACCAGAGCATTGTAGTAAACAATGTTCGTGACCCTCAACGAAAACAACGCAAGCGAAAAGAAGTGCCGAAGAACAAGGTCGAGAAGCAAATTAGGCGATGTGGGTACTACAACGGTGAGGGGCATAACAAACTAACATGTCCTCAAGTCAAGCTTAGTTTGAGTACAAGCACACAGCCTACATCAACTGATTTTTCGAAGACGGAATGGAATGACAACGATCTCCATATAATATATCGTAAGTATCAACATCACTCCTATTGTATGTACATGTAAATATTTTGAATGAAGGAAGAAAAACCGCGTTACTTCAAATTACCGACACTTTTTAAATGGTATGGACATAAAGTACCGACAATTATAAAGTGTCGATATAGGTTGTAGACCTATTCGCTCATAAAACCGGTATATTTATAGGTTATATTACAAAATTATCTATTACATTATAATTATGGGACGCTCGGAAAATGTCGACACTTTTTTAAATCGTATCGACACATTTTCTTCCAATATGGACATAAAGTACCGACACAATATTAAAAAGTGTCGATATTTGTAGACCTATTCGCGCATAAGACCGGTATATTTATACCGGTTATATTACAAAATATCTATTACTTATATTATGTA